GCACTTAACGACAACATCACACACTGGGGGATCCTGGTGTGGTGCCATAGGATAAGCACTTGACCTTAAGGTTGGTTTGAGCTGCAAGGTTGGCAGTTCAAATTCACCAGTTACTCCTCAGAAACCCTATACAGGGTCACTGTGAGTTGGAACTGACTCAAGGACATTTAACAACATCACACATTAGAATTCCCAAGAATGTAAATCATCACTTTATATGGAATAATAGCACAGAAGTTAAACTATCAAGCTAAGAGAGCATCCCTAGAGGGGAGGTTAGGAAGGAGAGGACTAGGTTTGGTTATCATTTCTCCACAGAGCCCTGCCTGTAACATCTAAAAGGAGAATGGTAGAAAACTTGAACATGATCAAAGTGAACCCCCATGACCCAGTCTACGCTCACCCTGTTCACTCAGGGTAGGCTCCGGCGCCTGATCACACCCTCATGTAACAATTCCAACGGAAAGCACTGGTTAATAATTACTATTTTTATCATTTCCTTCAAGCATCGGTTTTCCTTTCCCTCGACTCTCTTCTCAGATTCCTCTCGTTGTTGTGTGCCTTCCCAGGGTATTATTGTATCTTCTTCCTCCTTCCTACCACGTTGTTGTTGCTCTTGTGAAATGTTGTCGGGTTGTTTCCGACTCATAGTGACCTTGTATAGGGTTTCCGAGAAGTGGCTGGTGAGTTTGAACTGCCGACTTACAGTTCAAACCAACCTTGTAGTCCAGTGCTTATCCTACAGCAGCTCACCAGGACCCCTCCTCCAAAATCCTCCCTTGCTTTGGGGAAGCAGTGAACACTGAATTCCAAAGGTCAGCCTCAACCATGTCCCCTGGGGGTGCCAGCTCACCCCTTATCTCAAAAGCACGATATAAAACATGGGTAACCCAGTATTCTTTTCACTCACTCATGGAATATCAAAATGGTACTCAAAACAAGAGAGAAAAGTGTTATGGATAAAGCAGTGAGTAAAGTAAAGAAAAGAGGGAGACCTAACTTTAACCAACAGAACTCAGGTGGCAAAACGGCATGAAAAAATGAGCACATGTCCTCTTCATAAAAATCTAATGATTTGTATATGCCACAGAAGTCATTTTCTTCATTTTGAACATGCCCTAAACACTAGCAAAAATGGAAAACATAATTCTTCATTTGAGCGGTTCACCCTGTCTCTGTTCCTCTCTCCTCAAAGTCTGTTATCACTTTATTAACAAGCCCAAGATGGTTTTGCGCATCCTCACCTGCCTGCACATTTAGGCAGCTGTCAAAGAAAATGATTCTCACCTTTTAAAACTGTAAAATAAAAGCTTGATGTTTAAAAAACACCTTAGCTCCCCCAACCGCACACACACACACACACACACAACACAATAAGGAGGGCACTCAGCATGATTGGAAATGGCTAGCCAGGGTCTGAATAAGGATTTCATCTTTCCTGAGTTAACCTTCAGCTTGTCTTCCATTCCATGTGGCTACTAATGGAGTCTGTGATTTGGAGTCTTGTGGACTTCTCATAACCCTTTAAACCACCCTCAGCAGACAGTAGAGGAACCATTTACCAGAGTGGTCTTAGCAGAGTGCACGTGTAGCATGCCCAAGGAACGTGTATGCAGCTACTTGAGAGGATCGAGGAAATCGGTGTTAAATGGTAGGTTAGCTAAGCTTGCAACATTCTAACCTGCTATTGTCTCTCACTTTGTACATTTTAAAGGCGGCTTCCAAAAGTTGGTGGGAAAATGGAATGGAAAAATAGTGGGAATTTTCCATTAACTTTTGACGCCCCCTCATGTGTAACCTTGCCCT